AAAGCTGGTTATATCAATAGGACATGTGAGTAAAGAAGCACTTTGACATCGATGTTAAAGCAATGCGTGTATTTAATGTGTGAAACCATTTTTGCCATATGGAGTCAAAATCATTTAAGGCGAACCAAGTACTTATGTAAATAAAACACAGTAAATATTGAGGTATCTGATTTCTATTCCATATGCTGCACATGTTTACACACATGTAGTGAAATACAGTATAACTAAAATCCCAAAAATGTTTATTGTCTTGTGTGTGTTTGGCAAATATTTGTATTTGTATTACGTCTCTGGCCACGTTTCGCTTGTGGCTGTGCTTAAGTGGATTTGGCAGTTGCTGAAAAAAAAACTATAATAGTAAATGTAGCTGGTCGTAACAGCAGTAACAGCAGGTCGTTTCGTCCCGTTTGACATACGAGTTGGCTTGCATACATCCAAATGCATAATAGCATTACGTATACGCGCAGTGTGTGAGCTGAAGTGCTGAACACTGGAACGGTTTACCAGATGTCACAAGCCATTGCGATGTGAAAGTAACTTTTAAAATTGATTGGATACGTGCGAAGCTAGCGAACACACTTTAGAAAATAAATCAGCTTATTAATACTATTTTGTAAGTGCAGAATGGAGACTAGGTGGATTGTATATAGTCAAAAAAGAAATTAAAGCAAAATTCTTAGGCACGCCAAAGTTCGGTGTCCAAGCAATTTAAGATTTTACTATAAATTTAATAAACCGAATGATGTTGATAAATATTTTTGTTCAAAAGTTTTGGGCAAAATAAATTATTATTATTATTAAATTATTAGTGAATGCTGATCAAGAATAAATGGGGTCAGAGACGCATCCTACAATGTGCCAAAAATATTATGACAATATTATAATTCTTTCTACAAGGGTAAATAGTTTATGTTTGTAAAACAGCTCATTTTTGCATTGTAAATTCAATTTTATCGCTGCGCATTTAAGTCAAAAAATTGAATATTTACACTAGAATGCGCAAATAGGTCACAGAAAGTATTTCCCATCCAAGTCAAGTTAGCTGGGATGCAGGTCCATAATTACAAACGGGCGTTTTTGATATATAAGAGAATAGGGAGTTTTATTTTGTTATAAAATAATATTATTTTATGTTACAAAATGTTAAGCGACAAATATTTTGTGCTTTTAGCTTAATAGAGAAAATCCTTATTAAATATATTTGTGATTTAAATATAAAAATGCTGTGGCAGCATTAATTAAGAAAAAATATATTATACTAATGCGTAATTTGTACAATTAAATCATAAAACTTAAAGTCATTCATTGTATATTTCTTTATTATAAACTAACTCTTGAGTCTTTGAGTCATGAATTTCCATTTATAAAAATTAACTAGTAAGTCAAATGAAGAAGCATAAATATGCAATTGGTATTGAATGGCTACTTTATTTTAAAAGTCCACCAATTGGCGTCCAATTTAGCAAAAAACTGAATATAGATAATATAGATAAAGGAGTCGTTGGAAATAATATCAATATCGGTGTCAAGAGCTGTCTAGATTGTCAAGCATGGAAGATTGAATGAAATGCAATACTTGTAAAAATACAATATGACTTGTCCATTTTTTGCCCGAGTCACAGCACAAGGACATAAGCTGAATTTTTGTCTAGACAGGATATTAATGTCGAATCAATTTTTTTCCTGTGAAGAACGTTGCGCCATCAGAGTGCAATATTTGCTCCAAAGCGAAGTGTTCATCTGTCTTTAACAGTTGTGGCTTATAAAGCTGTCAGCCAGTCGACTTGCTTGTTGCGCAATTATTTGCAGCGCCTTCAAATGATTTTCAAGTTGTTTTCAATGCAAAGGCACAAGTGGGGAATTCATTGACCACTTCATGGCATTTCTCTCGGTATCCTATCATTGAAGAGTTTGTCTGTCCTTTTGTTAACTATTTGTTTCTTGTCTTTTTTTTTCTACTTACCACTTTGTCACAAAACGGCTGCTGTTTGTGGGTGGATTTTAGTTTGATTGCTTTGCGTATATGCGTTTGAGGTAAACAACTTTGTAGATTGATAAGCCACCTTTTTTATTTTTCAAGCATTTGAATTTATAGCACTTTTATGAACTGCAAACATTATTTGATTTATTCGATAAGCAATTTAGCTATTTTTATTGATGATTCAGCAATTTGCCTTTTATTGTTAAAGAACTTCTTGTGACACCTCAAGAGTTTACGGAACAAATATAAAATACTGATATCAGTATATCACAATACCACTCACAATCTCGCGATCCCAAAATAATTTACACTGGGTTTTTTTGTTTGTTATTTTTTCGTTTTTGTTGACAACTTCTATTCACGTTACGCCGCTAAAGTTAACCGAAGCGCGCACTTCCCGCTAAACTGTTATTTTTCGACTATTATTGAAAAGATATTGAAAAGCTTGGCGACACTTGTCCACACTTCACCAATGCCCAAACCATAACACAACAATGATAAGAAGCGCCCGATAACAGCTAACATTCTGGTACTGATGTAATATTCCACTCTGTTGATTACAGTGGAGTTAACAGAGCGACTGTTAGCGAACTGTTAATAATGCTGTTATCTTTTGCTTAGTGCTGATAGGTTCTGCAACAGCCCCAGCAGCCACGCCCCCAAATTGGCGTTTTGGTTGATTTTCTAATAAGCATTTGGTGTAATTGCTCGGTTGTGTAGATAGTTACCATTATATAGATAAGAATCGGTATTATGTTAAAAGCTTGGCGATTAGTAAACACTATAAATGAATTGACGCAAATTTATGATGTAGAAAGTGTAATTCTGATTCCCTAAGCTCATTAAAAACTTGAAATAGGGTATAATACAGTTGTGAAAAAGTTGTAACTGGCAGAAGTATATCTATGTTATCTATCAGCAGTCATCCCTCTACGTGAACCTACCGATCTCAGTGACTATAAATGCTATAGACTCAACATATAAGTTCTCGTTCACTTTTAGCGGTTACGGTTGATATCTACTTATCGATAACTGCATCCGCTTCGCGAATATCGATTCAAATCGATCTCTGATAGCAACAAAAGACACGATTTGAGAATTATAGCCTAAAAATACGTGAATGTACCATGATATAATTAAATATCAAACAAAAATACACAGGTTCATACTGAACAAACTACTATCAGTAAGCATACTATGTATTCAACAGGGTATTTTCTAATCGAGCTCTCCCTCGACCAAACTTGCTTAGATAGAATATATAATATTTTACTCTGGCTTGTTGTATTTATTGGCTTACATTAAACTATTCTAGGTCAGAACATAAAAACAGATCTGCACACTAAATAAAAAGCGAAATATTATATTTATTTATTTATATTTTTGTGTTAGCTGTTGGCTTTTGGAAAAAATATTCATATCGTAAGTACTTCCACCTGAGAATATGGTGCACTTGCTCTTGTTTTAAGTACACACAATTAATAGCATGTAAACGCACTTCTGCGGCACTTTTCATAATTCTGCAGCAGCCACTGAGTGCCGCATAAAACACGCATGAGTCTATTGTCCTTGTTGTTTTACTTGGTTGTCATACCCTGAACCCATGGAAAATATGCAAAATGGGTATACTGAAGACCGCTTTAATTATGTAACAAACAGCAAGAAGCATTTCCAAATCATTGATCAACAGTCGAGTCGATCTAGTCTACCTTCATTCTTCGAATTGCAAAGTTTTTCGCGTATCTACAAGTGCTATTATCGAAATCCGATTCCAGTAATCGTCTAAAAATAATTCGTAAGAGTCCAGAAATCCTGTACCAGCTTATGTTATCCGTAAGCCTCACTGGAGACTGGCAACTAACGGCTAAGAAAATGATGATTGCAGATTGGTCAACAGACTTACACAGTTGACGAGATAGTTAAAATCAAGAAATCGGTAGAAATTTAAAAACAAAATTTCATTTCATATTTTTTATATAATCCTCATATTTTAGCTGGGTTGAATATTTTATATATTTGACACACAGAAAAAAACTGTAAAAGTATATAAAAGAGCAGTGAAATAGTTGACAGATGATGCATACCTGAATCCATATTTGTAAAACTAGAAACCGAATTTTAATAAATTAAATATATTTAACAATTAGCTGCAGGGTATCTCCTAGTCAAGCTCCCTCAACTAGAGCATTCTTATTATTTTTTTTTTTTTAATATGCAGAGTGTGGAAGCTTGCTGCACTGTGTCTGTGATGTAGTGCGATAGGAAATGGATTTCAAGTGTGGCTAGCACTTATTCGTAATGTGTATTTAAATGCTCATGCATCCATTGCATATACGAGTATAGTTGTTTGCATTTATATTCTTTTGTAGAAATCTGTGCACTCATTCCCATTCCTCGTATGTATGCATTTTATTCTATTGCAACTGAGAATTGAAGTATATTTTAAACTTAGACTGCCACATTCATTTTGGAAGGAAAAGTGTTGGGTGTATATTAAATATAATAATCTTCAAACGGATTGCATTTTCTAAGAAATCAACGATTCGAATCAACAATCCGCTACTATATAAAGAGTCAAATAATCATATAATAATACACTAAATTTATTATTCTTTTTAGTATTTAGGTACTCTATCTAATACAAAATATCAAGTCGTAAAAAAGATTAGTACTCACTTTTAATTCTGCTCATCGATACTGCATTTAGTGTTAGCATTTAGAATGTTTTTTATTGAAATGTTTTTTATTTAAATTAAAAGTAAAACCCAAATTAAAAATAAAATATTTATTCATTATTTTGAAAACCAAGCAGGCAAGCAAAATTCGCTGTTTCTGTAATATTGACAACACCAAAGTCAAATCCTTGGTCCCAGAACTAAAATAAAAAGTTAATGGTTACTGATGACGAACACAAACTTCTCAAAGGATAGCAGATATCTGGCCAACATTGCCCAGTTAAAGCTATTCCATTTTCGCTCAACAAAAGGGTTCGGGACATACATTGATACCATTTGCAAGATGCAGTTTTACGGCTACAAGCGACCTTTTCACTTTATTCGTATTATTATTAAGTGCTTAAGGCTGACAATGGGTTAAAGCTTTACAGAGCAATGTGCGAGTGTGTGTGTGTGCAAGTGTGTGTGTGTATGTTTCGAGATGTGTCTGTGTATTTGTGTGTATTGGACTTGTACTCATAAATAAAAAATGAAAGTAGCTAAACATTTATCATTTAAACATTTATTAAAGCTACATAAGCCGTGCCTAGCATTTCAAGGTGCATGCTACGCTCTCTCCCCTTGTGCAGCTATTCCGCTCTTTCCGCCTGTCTCTGGTATCTGTTGCTGTAGCTAGCGCTGTCTAGATGGCATCGCCGTCATCATTGATGGACTTGAACAAAATATCATAGACGTGATTGACAAGCTTCGTCCACGATTGCACTTGACTCTCGTTTAGATTGCAGGCAGCAGTGAGCACTTCCAAAACAACTTCCTTGAGATTCTATTAGGAAAATAAAATATTTTAAGTATTTGAATATATACATAAATATAGTAGATATGCTTACGTTGTAAGACTCCTTAGATATTTGGCGTGGTATGTGGTTAACGGCCACCTTGGTCCAGATCTCTTCCAGCTTCTCCTCGGCATCATCCTGGCCGAGCACTCGAATGGAATCGTCGAACACACGAATTATGCGACTGGCATGCGCCCGGAAGCGTGAATTGGTCTGCAAATTGATTTTAGTTTAGTTTCATATTTCTTTGGAGTTTAGTAGTTGTCAGTTTCACGTTTCACTTACGGGCAACTCGGCCAGGGGCACATCACGAAATGGAAATTTCTCCAGAGAGGACGGATGACGATTGAAGAATGCTGTCAAGATAGCAGCTCCCGAATCTGTTGGTGTCGCCACGGGTATTTCCCAGGTCTTCTTGATCATTTGCACCTCATCGTTGTTCATATTTGCTGCTGCTGCTGCTCTTCAAAATGTAGCCTCGATTTTTTGTTTTTTTTTTTTTTGGGTTTTAAGCTGCAAAAGATAAACATTTATGTATCGTTAGATGTAAGTTTGTGCGCTCTTCTTCTTTTTCGTTAATCTCTCCCACTCTTAGTCTCTTTTTGTTCTCGCTCTCTGTCTCTGTCTCAGACAATTGAGATTGACAGCTTTACATGGGAATTGTCAGTTGCCGGGCAAACAATGAGCGCTCGAGCGCTGAGCTGACAACAATCGAAAATCAAAACCACAATAATGCTCAACGCAAGCACACAGTGGCTTATATAAATATGCGCACACCACAGGCAAAAAGTCAATGCCTTCGCCCTGACAGTAACCAAATAAGAACAGCAACAACAACCACAATAACAATAATATTCTTGAATCAATTAACGTTCATATGTCAATCGACTGAGCGACCAGGTGGCAACCAACCACAAACCGCACCCCCAAACCCCCACCAGCCCCTTCGTTGGTATTCATTCATGCACAGCAATAATATAACATAATAATCCACTATAGAGATGAGCGCGTGACTGAATTACAAAATAATGAGATGAAACGGAAATGATTATTTATCTAATTATTCATTACTTTGTTAGGTATACTAATCGAATAGAATTTATTTTTGTGGCATATACAAATTATTGTTAAACAAAAATACCTGCCCTTTAAATGAAATGTTTACAAAATTCGGCGTTAATCGAATTATAACAATAATAGTTGTCTACACAATTTATATTTTATTGGCCCAAGCAATTGAACTAATAAATAAACAATATAATCACGAGGACTATTAAATAACAACAATTTTATAGTGCCCATAAAAATACACAATTTTCATTAATTTGACTATTTGGTTCAAGTTTAATTTCAGCAATTAAACTAATAAAGAAATAATATAATCAAGAGTAGTTTTTTTTTACTATAATACAAAGTGGCACAAAGTGAACTAGAACTAGAACTATTCTAAGTTGGAGTTACTTAGTAAAATGCTTATGAGAAAGCACAGTACAATGCCCAATTGTACAACAATAAGTATCACATGTGAAATCTGTAAGCAGATGTTTTGCATTGACAGCTAAAAAGTGTGCAGCTCTAATGGAATGACAGGGCCCCTGCCCTTCGCCCTTTGCCACGCCTCTCTCTGTGCTCGGTCGCTCGTCTCAATAAGTGAGCGCTGAGCTTTCGTTTACATAAATGCTGCTGGCAGTTGATTTTCGCATTGTGAGCCACTCACTCAACGCTTGTTCCCGGCGAGAATAGAGATTGACAACAATGAGGAGAGCAGAACGGGCAATGGGATCAAATGCGGAAAACGGAAATGTAAACAGCAAGAGCAAAAATGCAGGCACACACTCACACACACACACGCACACACATATCATATGCGAGAGAGCAAAAGAAATTAAATCGGAAATGAGCTTGCAAACTATGGCAAATAAATGTAGCTTAAACTTGTTAAAGAACTTTTAACTTAATACATGTTGGATTTAAAATTAAAATATAAATTGGCTGACTATGCTTCAATTGTGGCTCATTACAATGCAAATAGCAATTGGAATTCAATTCCTACATAATAAATATTTATGAAGCAATTTGTGGACAAATAAAAAGTCGCACAAATTCATATTTAATGAGCATTTATGAATAATAAGTGGCAGCCAGAGAGAAAGTCGTAGCATAAGCTATTTTGCATCTGCAATATTTTTGATTTAATGACAAAACCACTTAAGCAACAAACAACAACAAACAAACACCAACAACAAAGACATCAAGAGCAACCGCAATAGCAAATGTAAAATATAAGAACAATTCAAAACGGCAACAGCAAAAGTAAACTGAAAGTTTATTAAAAATTTACAAGCTGACAGACCAGCCGCAGGCAACACACACAAACACACACACACACACACACACACACATCCACACACAGACAGAAAGACATCATGGGGAAAAATAACAAACAGATAGCATAACAGTGAAATGGACTCAAGTGCAGCCGCAGCAGGTGGCCATCATGTTATTGTTGCCACAATGTGGTGGAATCGGGGGAAGGAGGGAGCGGAATATTACACTCCGCTCAACTATGCAGCTCACCATGCAACTCGACTTACAGACACCCTGTAGAAAGAGCAAATTAATATTTACCAGACACCTTGTAGAATGTTCACGTCATAAATCAATAACTTTTCAAAATCAAACTTAAGGTGCTGAGAAGATTTTAATAACTAGAAAATATATTTATTAACAAACTTAATAATTGGAATAATCGTAAACAGTGATCTTTGTGAACCTTTAAGAATAATTCAAAGAATTTTAAGCTGGATGGTCGCTGGCAATCTCTCCCTGAACACGTATCCTGACCGGATTTGAAATATATCACAGTAAAATAAAAATACTTGATCAGCTAAATATATATATAAAATTCAAAATTTGGTAACTAGCATACTAATATTGCTTTTCAAAAACTAATTGCGCGTTGTAAAAAAGTATAGCTAAAAATTAATTTAAAAAATAAAAAAAAATGAAGTAAAATTGATGGCAACGACAGCTTCAATTAATATTAATAAAAGCTATATTGTTTATTTTTTAAAGAACTCTTTTTATAATTGAAAAAAAAGCATTTTGCTGAGCGTGTTTCCATTTCTTATAAAAACCATTACATAATAATTTAAAAATAATAATAATAATAATTAATAATATAATTGTAAAACTTAAATTGCTTTGAACAGGTGTCGTTGCAATTTTAACACTCAATCAAGATTTAGTTTTTTTTTAAGATGAGTTAGTAGCTTTCAAAGGTAAAACAAGTGATTAATTTATGGTTTTGTTGGTCATTCACACAAATTCAAAAAACTCGCCACAATCGATTAGTGTGCAGGGTGTAGGAAATGTGCCATCTCTGTGTAACCTTGTCTTGAAGCCCCTTCAGGCACAAAACGTTGGAAAAACCATCATCATCATCATCGTCAACGGCAACAACAACAACAACAACAACAACAGCAGCAGCAGCAGGCTACAAACATACATAATATCCTTCATGCCAAAATGTCCTGTGGCTTTTGTGGTTGATGTCGTTACAGGCCTGTGCCCCACTATACATACATATATATAGATAGATATATATATGTGTGCGTGTGTGTGTGTGTGTGTGTGTGTGTGTCTGTGTGTGTGTGTGTGCGTGATGCAGTCAAGAGTAAAAAAGCAGCAACAAATCAAGCGTTGCCTCGCTTCTGCCTTGCGTGTATTTGTGAGTCGTCTGTAAGGACATTGAGCGCTTAATTAAATTAAGGCAGCTTGATGGACAGCTACTAGACAACGAGACGCAGGCAACTGCCACCAAGTCTGACAGCCAACCAGGCCAACATGGCTAACATGGCCAACAGTCCCCTCCCATACCTCCCACACACCCTCTCGATACTGCTCACATTAAAACTAACCAATCATTCAGGTGTTGCTAAAGTGCCACTTTAGCCTTGCCAGCATTTCGTCCTGTGTGTGTGTGTGAGTGTGTGTCTGTGTGTGAGTGTGTGTCTGTGTGTGTGTGTGTGTTTGTGTGTGTCTGAGTGAGTGTGCGTCGGTGTGCTGTCAGTCAAATGTCATCAAGTGCTGCAATTCTCTATAAAAAACATATAAGTACATTATATACTTCATTGCATTCAAGCAACGATTATTGGCAAACGGTTTCAGCTTTCAACTGACTCTAAATAATTCGCTGTAAGCCTTAATTGGCCAGCTTCGGACAACAAAATCGTAATTTATAATTTTATATAGTAGTCAGAAAAAAAAAAAACATAAATCCTTTATGTTTACAATTTTAAATTAAAAGAAAATTAAAATATAGTAAAATTTAATAAACATTAAATTTGACGTTTTTAAATGAAATAATAAAAAATAATAATATGCTTTTCAAAAACTAAACAATTTAATCAAAAACTGGTTTATTTAAATGAAAACAACTTTGTTAATTTAAAAACTCAAACAACACTAAAACAACAGTCAGTCTCTATAAATATTTTATTATAAGCATAATAATAATACTAGTACACATAATAAATAAGATCTTTAAGCTTTGACTTAAATAAAAGTAATTTAAAATGAATTTTCAGCTTTCTTAAAATCCATCAGCATTGAGATTTTTTTGATCTTTAAGCAAAAAAAATAGGCAAAAAAAATAGCGGGAACAATAAAAAACAACCTCTTCAATTTAGTTCAAATCAAATAAATACCAAGAACGACAAAGAACAAACCTTTCCAATTGAATTATATTCAAATAAATCAAATAAATAATTTGAGTAAAAAATTGAATTGAATTTAATACAAATAAATCAAATAAATCGGTTAGTGCCCTAAAATCTATCACCTGTTTAGCTAAATCGAGTCAAATGTGATTTGGGAAGCACCTTAAATGTGCCCAGAGGCATTTAAATTTAAATTCGCATAGGCCAAGTCAAACACACACACACACACACACACACACACACACACTCGCAGACGCACACAGATGCAGAGAGACAGCTGCAGACATATGCGCATCGGAAGCATTAACGATAATGACAACAACAACAACAGCGAAACGACACTTGTTCGCAAGGACACCCGAGAAATCCATAAATTTAAAGCATGCTTTTGTGCGCCAGAGCGCAAACGGCAAACAACAACAGAAGCAAAGAAAAAAAAAGGAAAAAAAAACAGAAACAGAAGCAGAAGCAGAAACAGACAACTTTAAATCAGCTGTAGCCTGTTGAGCAAGCGCGGCACATTTAAAGAATCAAAAATCGCGAACAAAAAGAAAACAAATGCGAAATGCGTTCAGTTCTGCTCAAAGTTTGCAGTTGTATTTACAGTTACATTTACTATTTTATAATCGCACCCAATTCTTTCATAATTCCGCAAGCGAGTTCTACTAAGCGCTTTCTCTTCCTTTTTTTTCTTTTGCTCAAATTGTTTATTTTTTATATTTATTGTGAGTTTCGCTGCCTGCCGTCGGCGTCGTTATTCGCTATTGTCGACTTCACTGTGAACCGCGCGCGTTGCGTTCGAATGAGACACTGAGACTGAATGAGACCTGAGCGCGGCGTCGACCAAACCAAATCATTCGTTCAAACAGCGCTCTCTGCCGGCAAATACACTTGGCACACGCTGTGTGCTGCTGTTGTTGTTGTTGTGTGCGCGCCAAAAACGTACACACAACGTATAGAGAGAGAGAGAGAGAAGAGAGAGAGAGCGGGAGTGAGCGCACAGAGCCGTCGCGAACGGGGGTCTACGTTTGCTAACTGCGTATTAAACGCACATTCATTCGGCTCGGCTCCGATTGCGTATGCATGTCATGCAGGGACGCCCCTTAAGAAAATGCTAATATTCAGCTGCAGCTGCACGAGCAGCACGCGGCCACCTGTAGACCATCTAATGTGGAAACAAATGAGCTTTCGTGCGTGACAGCTGGCTTTTGTTGTTGTACCATTCTCAGAAAGCTTAGAGTCCAGCTTTGGTGCTGGTAACACAACCTTTTACCGTTTTATATTCAAAGTTGCATTTATTAGGTGAAATTTCGAATAATTTTGAAAGAAAATGTATATAGCTGGTTATAGCTGATAAGGATCAGTTGACAAATGCACACATACATTTTACACAACACATTTCAATGCAAATCGAATTTCATAATTTACAATCTAACAACTTGTGCAGTTTTGTTTCCGCATTATTGAATGCTAACTTATCTCACAAATCGCAAGTTATTTTTTAATGTTTTTTTTTTTTCATTTTGTAGCTGTTATCAGGCTATTGACGAATGTTTTAGAAAGTGACGCCAATAGTTTATCGATGGGTAGCAACAAAAAAATCAGCTGGAAGCAGCAAACTCAAGTGGCATTCAAAATAAAGTAAGTCGAATATAATCACAGCACTTAACACTTTTCATACACATATATGCAGTTATATAAAATAAGTCATCTGCACACTGTACTGTACTGAATTTTGATATTATTCCATTTATTATTTATTTTTATTGTTAGCACAACTCACTGTTTCTTTTTACGCCGTAGCAAGAACCACACTCAACGTTAAAATTCAAACTGAACAGAATTGTGGATCCGCGCGGCTATTTAAGCGATTCGCCGAAGCAAACGCACACAAAACAAACAAAAACAAAAGTAAAAAGAACGACTTAAGCGAAGACGAGTCGAGAACAACAAACAGCGATAGCCGACGTCGTCGTCGGCGTCGGCAACAATCTAATCATTAATTATTGGTGTGCAGGGGGTTATCGAAATTAGGTAATCGAAATACATTGAAATATATATTTTATTCCTATTGCGTGTTACAATGGAAACTGAAATTCTTTTCTGTCTCTCTGCAATGATCGCGTCTAATAATCATTTGCATATTTACACATACACATATGTAAATTTGTGTGTTTGTATATTTTTTATTATTCACAGTCTCTCAATAGTTTCGATGGCAAAGGCCAACTGGCCGAAATTGTACGTTAATTAAAAAATTCTTTTAATTTAATGCTGAATGACTGCCAAACAAGTTTGTACTTCCTATTCTAATGTCTGTGTTTTTTTTTTTTTAGAAGTGTAAATTTTAAATAATCAATGGCTTCAATATTACCCTGGAACTTGCCATTTCACATTTACTTGACCTTCGTCCAAGTGATAGATTATATTCTTTGAATTTCACAAGATGTTCTAATGTATTTTTTGCATGTTTCTTTGTTGTGTTTTCTTTCTATCATTTTTTTTATTTATTTTTTTCTGGTTCTCACACATAAAATATGACAATTTCTTGAACAAAATTGATGACTTAATATCGCGCCATTTATTGCCTTACTTTACAACTTTGTCTTCTTTTGATGAGCTAACAAATTAAACTAAAGCAACGTGAATTCTTCCATTGTTTTTGAGTCTCTTCAAATTAGAAACATATATAATTAGTGAATATTGTTGAGAACAAAAACATATTAATAGTTCCACTCGATGATTTTCAGGTAGAAGTAGAAAAGTGTATTCACAAGTTATAGTTATAATTAGAATTGAGAAAAACTTATTGCCTTGGGTCAGTTCTTTTATATTTAAACTACGCCCACATATTGCACATAATAAAAAAAAGCAATGTTGCTTAACAATTGGTGACAATAAAAACAAAATTTATATTTTTGACAACCATTGTTTGCTAATTATTCGTCTAATTCAATTAACATGCAGAGAATATATTATGCGATCGCCTGAATAGCAATTTTTAGTATTAAAAAAAAAAAAAAAAAAAAAAATGTTATGAAATCTTTTGTGTCGTCACCATTTCCTCTGGTTAATGGATTATGGTTTATGGAGACAATTGTTTATGCCGAAATTGGCGGTCATTAAAAGCCATTCGAGACCTAAATACTAATGAAATTTCTCCAAAACAGGCAAATAGTTCTATGTGGATTATTTTTTCAGTTTTGTTTTATAATATTTTAATTTTATTTATTCTAAACAGACTTTATTTCACTTTCAATATCCAGTAACTAAATACACGATGCAAGTCACGTCGCCATTAAGGAATTATGTATATATATAAATCGATTTGTATATAGTCTGTATATATGCCTGTATATAAACACTCGAGGTAAATGTAAACATTCTATTATTTATTGTTGTTTCACTGGACATGCCGTTGACTAGCCGGAATTTCAAAGCACATGGCAAATATGTATAAACGCATATAAATAAAACCAAAATGTAACAAAAAACACCTCACAAAATCTAATACGAAATTTGCTTTATGTATCTTTATCGCTTTGGCAGATGCTAGCATCGCGCATGTTATTTGTTATTTGTTATTTGCTGTTCGTAATTACCTTTGTTGAAATAAACTCTCTTTGCAGAGGAGCACAAGCAGCAGCAGCCAAAATGCAAATGAAATGAGCAAAATACTACACCAAAAAAAAAACACAAAAACTGACAGATGTCTCCCCAGAGAGTGTGAGAGAGAGAGAGAGAAAGAGAGTGGGAGCCCGAGAGCGCTGAATGGAGCAGAGAGTTTGGATAGCGTTTTGTCTAACCAAATTTTCAGTCATATTCAGCGCGAGAGTCACACAGATCACAGGCAGCTGAAGCGGAGCGTAACACATGCTCTCAGCGGGCAGTTTTAGCCAGTTGATATTGGCCCGTTGGAATGGCAAGATAAATGCGAAGCTGCGGAGAGCAATCCAAAACAAAGATAAGAGCACAAATAGTGTGTGGAAAAAACAATAGGCAAATGTTATTAGATAATAATGGACGCAGAACAGCAACCAGATCGAACAAGCAACAAATGTGACAGCGACAAATGCCAGAAAATAAAGAGATTTGTTATCATCGGATTACTGATCACCATTGGCATTTTGAGTTGGCATTTCTATGGTGCGTATCAAGCGACACACACACACAAATAATCACTAATAGAAACTTACACACATTCACAGAGTATTTCCATAGCAAGCCACTGCCCAAAACGCCAGACGATGTGCTGAATTTGTCACAGGCGCTCTTCGATGAGGAAGCGATCACCAATCCGTATCTCTACAAAGTGAATCTCCAAGGCAAGACTAAATCTGGAGCTCACGATGATCGGGCATCCCAGCCGTAAGTAGCTGGATTAGCATATGCCCTCTTCAGCTATTTGTATTCACATTTATATTTGTCAGTCTGTTTGAGCTGCACAACGATCTGCTCGTGCAACACAGCAACTCGACAACGGCTCTCTTGCAGCGCCTCTTCAACAACTATGAGCTGGATGTCGCCGTCCCAGATCACATTACACCGGAGCACGAACAGGAGCAACTCGAGTTTCTGCGTGCCGTGATGAATACACGTGTCATGAAACTTTCAATGCTATTCCTGGTCAAAAGAGGTGAGCTGAGCAGCCAAGCATTGAAATAAGTTTGAAACAGGTTTTATACACTCTACATAATTCACAGATGATATGAATTTTAATAGAAATTCTTAGCTCTGAATTAGCTAAGCCTATCAATGAGATGAGGAGTGTAGTATTTAGATTCTCAAACGAATCAACCATGTCTATCTAAGCATCTTTCAACATATTTATGAATGTGTATCTCTCTCATAGCAATTCAACAAAGAACATTTATATAACATTTTCTAGAATGATCCACATAATCACTTATTGATAATTTTCAACCATTTTAACTTTTTTGTCTAGTTTCTCAATGATTTTTTCAGTTTTTTTTTAAGACAAAATTGGAAAAGTTTGCTTACTAAAAAGCACCTGATTGGTTTTGTTTAATAGCATTGTGATAAAATTACCACTTTAAGAATATTAAAAATGAATCTAGTAATATTCAATTGTGATTTTTTGTCTAGTTTATCGCAGATATTCGTTGAGTAAATTTGGATATTTTATCTTAAGATGCATTTTAGCATTTTGAAAATAATAAGAATGAATCCAGTAGTATTATTATATCTTTTAATAACATATCTAGATATTGCTCAAAATTATTCAAACATGTGTTTTACACTTGTGCTCACTAAATGCTCTCCTTCTGCTGAAAGGCATCGTGACTGGCGACTATGATGCACAGCTCAAGTTGCTGCAGGAGCTCTGGTTCACACCGTATTCACGGGGAAGAGGTATTGTGGGCAGTTCCAGCTTCGAGCATGTGTTTATGGCTGAGCTGCGGGATCAAAAGGTGCTCGGCATGCACAATTGGCTGTACTTTGCCGAGCAGGAGCAGCAGGGCCATGTGGACTACAAGGGCTGGATGAATCGCGTGGACACGGGCCGGGTAAAAAAAATTAAAGATGAGAAAAATATTCTGCCTGCAAAATTTTAATATTTTATACACTTGCAGCATCTGCAATTTGCACTGGCTTTTCGCATGAGTTTCTATGGCATATCGAAACCCTTCAATGGCTTCCTAGTGGGCACCTCACCGGAGCTGGAGATGAGCCTATACACGGTATGCTTTCTGGTCAACGCCGAGAAGGAGCCATGCGAAATACAGCTGGGCGAGGCCAGACTCTCCATTATATCGCATGTCTGGCAATGGAAGGGCAAGCGACTGATAGCATCCAGTTATATTGAATTGCACAATGATTAATTACTCACCGAAGTCCCCCAATAATTGAGACAATTCTGCTGAATGTTGAAAGTAAAAAAGAAACCAGTATTTCAATCAATATTCCAATCACAGCGCTGTAACTCAACTCTAGCTTGCCTAGAAGTAATTACAACGATCCATACTTGTATTTTTAAATTGCACATTTTGTTAGACCTTCATAGATCTGAAGCACATTGTTAAAGTGTTAAAGTAATATTTTGTGAATATTAAATGGGCTGTTGTTGTCGGCTTAAGTGCGTGCCAACTTCAATTTCTGTGGCTGTCAGTCATTTTGCTCGCTTTCGGCCAAGTTCAGCTCGAGTTGAGCGTTTTTGACAGCTTTGCATGGTATTAAGACGTTTGCCGTTATATCATCCACTTGCTTATTAGTTTTAACGTTTATGTTTATCGATTGCCTGCAGAAGAGTCTTGTGACCTCTAAGGTTTTACTTGTCATTGAAACTTAATACCTTTTTTTATCTACAACGAACAAAAGCAATTTGCTATTAAATAATTAAGCATTATTTATAACGCCAAACATTGTCAGGCACTTTTCAACATTGATTAATTGAATTATAATTGAAATTGTTTACGACTTTTTATTTTCGCTTGCCAGCTAAAATGAGTGGAATCAAAGACTATAGACACACCTATCTATATCTCTAAAGTCTTTACTAGAATCCAGTTATGTTCAATCTCCAAAATCGGTCAATTTTGATTGGGTCAAAAATTAATATCTGAAATATCTAAATAATTTCCAAATTATTTTTTTTTAATTTTCTGCATTGTCTCAGGTTTGGTTAGTCAAATAAAAAGTGTTTGTTAAAACTTAAAAATATATAGAATTGTCATAAATATAAGAAATAAATATTTTAATTTAATCTGTATGTTTAAGAAACTACAACTTTAACAGTATGTTCATAAATATGTTGAATAAATTCTATAACTTTAACATTATATTCACAGATATATTTCATTCATATAAGTCGCAATTTCATTTAAAAAAAAAAACACACAGTTTGTTGAATGAGTTATTTTTGAGTTTATATTGCATCTCAAATTTTATTAAATTACAAAAACGATAATATCAAATATTGGTTATTTGTAGAAAAAATGCCAATCCGAAACATATGAGTATAATATTTATGATGGAAGTCTCCCTAATGGAGTAAGTTGGACTAGCAACTGGAAAACTTGTGCTTAACTACAACTAGTCCGTCACGTTGGTCACACTCAATGATCAACCCGCTGCTGCTGTTCCTGCTTCTGTTCAGCTTGTAATATGATCGTCTCGTTGAGGTCCTGGTGCACCACAGCTGGCGCACTTGCTCGCCGCACTGTGACAATGGTGGTGTGTGCTGGCGATAGACTGGCATCCGAGTCGTCCACCTGCAGGATATACGTTTCACTCAAGCCATCACAGGTGGCATCATCGTCGAGATTGGAGGCATCGCTGGAGCGCATCAGGCTGGGACTGCTAATGCCAAACTCCAACTGCAGCGGATCGAGGGGCGTGAGCTCCGTGGACTCAGGACTCCAGCTACTTCTTGCCGGCAACTGCCGTGGCAGACTGTTGTGGCAGAGCGGATCGGCTGCCGGCGATGTTGCCACCTGCAGCTGCTGGCCCCACAGCTCCGCTGCTCGGGCGCGATTGTGGTCGGCTCGCTGCTGTTGCTGCTGCTGCTGCTGTTGGGGCTGTTGTTGCTGCTGCTGCTGCTGCTGCTGCACCTGCTGGCGTTGTCGTCGTCGTCGGTGTGGCTGCTGTCGTCGGTGGTGGCGATCGATTGTAGTCCGCTGTGGACTGATATGGCTGCTGGCTGTTGGCTGTGGCTGCGTCTGGCGCGGCATCATACTGATATCCGGACTGTGCATAGTCCGCCCCGCTGTAATCGTAGCCGGCATTGGCATCATAGCCATACTGCTGGCCATCGCCATACGGCTGCTGGGCATAGGCGCTCGGATCGTAGGCACTGGCATCGTACTGCTGCTGATCGTAGGCGCTGTAATCGGTGTTGTAGGCGGCCAGGTTTGCGCTGTCGGCATTCGAGATGCTGCCATCGCCAAGGGGTTGTTGCTGCTGCTGCTGTTGTTGTTGTTCGGGCTCTGCATTGCTGTAGCGTCGCTGTTGCTGTTGCTGTTGCTGCTGTTCGGTTTGTTCACGTTCACGATCACGTTTCTCCCGCTGCTCCCGCAACTGTTGCAGTTCCCGATCTCGCTCCTCGCGTTCACGTTCGCGTTGTCGCTCCCGTTGCTGTTGTTGTTGTTGCTCCAGCTCTTGTTGTTGCTGCTGCTGCTGTTGCTGTTGCTTTTCGCCCATGCCAAGGTTGTCCTTGAGATTTTCGTCATCGTTATCGTTGAGTCCGTAGCCGTTGTCATTGCTGATGCTGCTCTTGCGCGCTGCTGCAGCTGCGCCAGCAATTGTGTTGCTGTTGCTGCTGTCGATGGCTGCTCCTGCTGCTGCTGTTGCTGCTGTTGTTGCTGCTGCTGCTGTTGCATCGTAGCCGTAGTCGTCGTCAGCGTTGTTGTGTAGTTGTTGTGGGGTGCTTTGTATGGGTTCAATTGTTGTGCCATATGTGGACGGCTGGTAATCGTATGCGGCTGTAGTAGTCACAGAAATTTTGATTAGTGTTTGCGAGCCAATTCAGTGCAAGTTTCTTGTTGTTGCTGTTGTTGTTTATTGTGTAGGTATGTAGATATTTTGTATTATATATATATATGTTTATCTATATATGTAACTGTTTAGCTAAGCTATTGATGCAGCTTCCAAGTCGCAAGACGCTGTTGCACGCACTGTCGCCGGACCAGGCTCAACCGCTATGAGTATCAATGAAGGCAATTAGATACACAGTACAACCTTTTGGCTTAAATTCAAAACCTTTTCATGGTGCAATACACAGAATGTAAATCACTTAAAATGCATAATGGCATTCACAATTATTAACAAAAAAAAATAAGCTAAAGATTAATAGTTGTAAAAAGCCAACTCCAATTTTCAAATGTCAAAAATTGTTGAATGTTGGCTAAATGAAAATGGTAATCAAAGCCAAGTCTTTTGTTTATGAAACTCTGAGTATTTTTATAATTGGCTTGGTAATTAAACATAGGGGCTTAAAAATTTAAACATTTAATAATTCATTTTCATTTTTCTTATTTTCATTTTTCTGTTTGTAATTTTTATTGAAACAAATTAATAATTCTTATAAATAACTGAAAAACTAACTTTGAATTGCACAAAAATTTAAGAAATTAAGTGAAAGCACAATATATTATTGAGAGAGAGAGAATTATGTTTAGTTGATCTACATATGTGTATTTATGTATGTAAATATGTATACATGCTGCTGATGGACTCTATTGAGTTGCAAGTTCAAGATTTACCTTTGCCGGCGCCTAAGCTAGTATAATCATGTGGGGTGGTATCTAATTTACTCATATGCTCTTCATTGCTCAACATGCGATTAGACAAATACTCTAGATTCGATTGTAAAGCAGATATTTCCTCTCTAATGCGACAGCCGATAGCAGTAGAATGCGAAAGACAGTTAGAAAGAGACAGAGAGAGAGAGAGAAAGAGAGAGAGAGAGAGAGAGGAAGAGAAAGACAAAGAGAAAAAAAGTTGGTTAGTCAAATACAAATTCTTCAATCACATTTACCTGTGAGGGTTGCAATTTGTGCATTTTTGGTGAGAAAATGCAATCATCGTTTGCTGTTGCCTCCTCGGAGCTAATCTCATTAGCGCTATTGCCATTATGAACTAATTGTGACTTGTATTTTGACCAAATTTGCCTCAAACGTGCCATAAGCTGTTCATTCGTAGCACGAAGTTGCTGTTTGTCGTGACTGCGAAAATTCAGTTAACAAATTGAAATATAAATAAAAATTCTAATTAAATTATAAATAACAATATTTCGATCAGCAATTACAACTTTAAGTTTTAACAATCGATGCTTCGGATATTCTGTAGTCAAATACTTATAAATATTCTTTTCTTTAATGAGAGTCTTATTCAAGTTTAAAATTCTAAGCCTCAAATATCATATTATTGAATATTTTGTTAAAAATTAATCGTAAAATGAGTTCAACCTTTTTAGTCAGAAGTTCACAGTTCTCGTTCTTGGAGAGATAATTAAATATACTCGACTAATTATTTCTATATATTATGTAACTTTGATATTCTTTATAGTGTATCGATGGATTGAATATTTTTTAAACATTAAATCATATTTTCAACTAACTCTTGTTCACAGATCTCCTTCTTGGTTGATAGTCGTATTTAACTATTCTTTTACGGTAAAATCATATAGTTTTATAGAACACCTTAGTTGTAGAAATGATCTGATAAATAAGTTATTAAAAATCTAAAAAGTTTGTAACTTCAGATCAGATTCAACTTCAAGGCCCAGCTTTCGATCAAAACCAAAAAAATATACTATGCCTTTTTCCCTTAAAAAGACAAGTTGCAAATGTAAACATATAAATAAAATATACCATATAGAAATAACGTCAATTAATCTGTACGATTATTCAATTCAATTCAATTAGCTACACCATAATTTACCATAGTTAAAATAAAAATAATTTGTGTACTTCTTCATCTATGAAAATTGAAATCTAATTGGGATGCTGTTTGCTAAAATGTTCGTTCGTGATTGTGTATTATTATAATTATTATTATTTTTGGTATAATAACGTTATCAAAGTTTGGTGGCCTGCTCCTCCTGGTCGTCATCGTCATCATCAGCCACATCCTCGAGCCGGGCCAGTTGCTCATCGATTTGAGCCAATTCTGGCGTTGTGTCCTTCACAAAAGTCTCGTTCAGAGCATGAGCCACTTCGTCCAGTTCTTTCACGAATGTCTCATTGAGTGCATTAACTTTTGGCTTTGACTGTTTGGGCACCAGACGCACATTGACATCCACTTTGACAGGGGGGCGTGGCTTCTTGTGGCAGCCATCTCGCTGCAACAGTTGCTCAAAGTAGAGTTGCGGCTTAATGCTGGCAGTCAGTGCATTGCTCTGGCGACCTTTGCATGTTGTTGTTGCTGCTGTTGTTGCTGCTCCTGTTGCTGTGGCTGTTGCTGTTGTCTCAGCGTCCACCGTCAAATGCGTTGTTTGACATGGGGGCTGACAGCTATTGGCACTGCTACTGATGGTCTGATTCAAAACCAGATGCTGTTGCAGCCAAGGCAACAGCTCCGTTTTGCATGGATGACAGCAACTAGTTGTTGCTGCTGCTGTTGATGTTGATGTAGATGTTGGTGCAGTGCGATATTGTTGCTGTTGGTGTTGTTCGTGGTGTGTGTCTAGGGTGAATTCATGCGCGTGACAATGCATGCTCTTGCTGTGCGTGGTTTGTGTACGCGCTAATGCTGTTGTTGTTGTTTGTTTTCCGCTGCTGCGATGGCGTTGATTGCTGCCGTTGCTGCTGTGGCTGCCGCCGTTACTGCTGCTGTTGCTGCAACATGCAGTGCGCTGTCGCATTGCTGGCCTCGTATAAACGTGTTCATGCTCGTGCTTGTGTCTCATAAAACTGGGGCAAAAACATTTCGGCTTGGCACCCATTGATGATGTTGTTGTTGTTGTTGTTCCTGTTGTTGTTGGTGTTGCTGTCGTTGTTGTTGCAGTTGTTGTCTCTGTATTGTGGTTGTTTGCTCTGTGCTTTTTGTAGCTTGTGAATTTTGGCAAGGGTGGCATTTTAGCCAACTCCTCAGCCAAACGCGCATTGCTTTTAATTATGTTCTGCAGTATCTCATCACCATTGTCGACAACATCAGCAGCAACATAATCAACATTGCCAACATCAGCAACATTATCTAGAATACCCAATTCAGGCAGCAAAGTGAACGCGTTTGCGCTTTCGTTTGTTGCTGCAGTCGCCGCCGCTGCTGCTGCTGCTGCTGCTGTTGTTGTTGGTGGTGCAGCTGTTGTTGTTGTTGTTATTGGCATCGTTTGTATGGCCATAGGCTCGTTTAATGCTGTTGTTGTTGTTATTGTTGGCATCGGAAAGTCGCACACTGGTTCTACATTTAATAAATTTTTCAGGCAGGCAGGCGAGCAGCACAAGGGGGAGGGAGGAGGGGAGGTTTGAAGAAGTACAGCGTGTTAATCCAGTGTCAAAAGCACGTTTAGTTGTTTGTTGTTCTTGTTGTTGTCGTACTTATTTTTTTTTTTTTGTGGTTTACGGTTTAAAATATAAAAATAAATTGCACTGCGTGTTGGCAAAATGTATTATGTAAAATCAATTGATTGAGGCTGGCCTTGAATTTCATATTGCGTTGTGTTTCAATTTTCATATGATGTGATTTGAGTTGCTCTCTAAAAAATGGGTGATCATATTTCATATTGATTAAACTAACCAAACTCGAACTCGAACAGTTGCACAAAACTAGATTGCAATTTGTGCAGGATTGCAGAATTATTGAATACAAAATAGAGAATGTTTGTAGTTGAAAGATGCTGGTAATAATTACTTGTGCTTATAGGTTGTATCCTCTAATTTGCCGGTTAACGTTTTGCACTCATTCGTCAGTTTATCCATGAGTTGCTTCTGAGACGTTATCATTTCTTCGAGCTCATTTACCGTTTCCGCTACAAAGAGTAGACAGACAGACAAATTGTTGTGGGTTATTAGAGTGGATTGCAGGTGCGATATGCATATATAATATATTGTATCTTTATGGCAAGACAACAAACTCATGGATAAACTATTGACGTTTGCTTTCTTATCGAATGTAGTATATCGGATATTCAAGACCACTCAAATTTTCGGTATATTCAATTTTCAAAACAGATTCCACTCACACACACAAACACGCACACACAATATGAAAATCAATAGCTTAACCAGAGTTCAGAGAAATTGATAAGATAACAAATAATGAGAGTGCTCAGAAAAAATAGTCGTTTAAGTTGACGAACTTTCTAAATAAGTGTGTCAAAGTGATTGATTGACTAAATAAAAGATACAACTACAACCACATACCATGCTTATCCTGCATCTCGGAAATGCGTTTGTCCAAATCTTTTTTGGTGGGTCGAATTTCGTTCTTCAGCTCACCGTAAGCCAACTGGAAATATTAGTTAAATAATTACATTTCTGTACAACTTTAGTTTCATTACTTTAAGCTAAGAATCACTTGAAAAATATGAAATAAATTTAAAAAAGAATTAGGAAAATTGGAAAAGAATTATACTTTATAGAATGATTCGCAAATAAGAATTCAATTTCTATTTGCATCTCTGCCGAACTGAGATTACCTCCTTCTCCAGATTGGCAATCTCATCGTTCAAACGCAAAACCTCTCGCTTCGAGTGGAGTATATCGGCATCACCACGATCCAGACGCTGGCGCAGAGAGTTAATCTCTGCCGTTAAGCGAGCTGCCTCCGTTTTGGTTTCGCGTGCCGCCCGATCCAGCTGCAGTCGCAGCGCGGTAATCTCTTGCTCCAGAGACTGCTTCTCGGCGTTCGCCTGCGCCATGTCTGCGAGGAATGTGGCGCGATTTCCGCGCAACTCCATCTTGAGCTCCTCGATTTGGGAATTTCGGTTAGCCACATCGCGTTTCAGATCGGTCTCATAGCGCTTCTGGCGCTCCAATTCCAGCTGCAGCTTGGCCACCTGCTCCCACTGACTACTCAGATCGCCGCCCAGCTGATCCACTTGGCTATTATACCGCCGTTCCGCACTTGCTCGCTCATCGGCCAAGCGGCGCGCCATCTCATGCTGCAGTTCCCGGACCCGCTCGTGCTGCCGGTCAAGCTCATCCCGCAGGTGACGCACCTCCAACTGAAATGAGGTCAAAATTTTTATGGATTGAGTTAATCAAGTGAGTCATAAGTCAAAAATATAGGTATAAAGTCATGACAAGAGCTTGGCAAGAATCCAAGTACGAATATCTGACTTTTTCCAGTGTACATGGCACATTGTGCTGAGCTTATATCATACTTTTAGTTAGCTAAAAGTTGCAGCGGAACTTACCTCCGCCTGGGAGCGTTCCATCTGAACCAGGTCACTGATGTAGCGCTTGGAGCAGTTGGCGCTATTATGATTCAGAGACTTCGCCTCGTCGAGCATGCGTTGCAGTTGGCGCACCGATTCCTCGAGACTGGTTTTCTCCTGTTGCAGCAGTTCCAGCTGTTTGCGATGAGTCTCGCAGTTGACGCTGCCCAAAAGGGCCACGGCGCTACGAGGATCGGTGTGGGCCTGCTTCCGTTTGAGCTCCTCATTCTCGGTGCGAACACGCTTCAGATCGATGTTGGCCTGCATCAGCTCCGCCTCCAGTTCACTGATGCGTGCCTCGTAGACAATGTTGGGGGCACTGGCGTACCGCGGAGATTGCACCTTAATGTTGCTCTTACGTGGCGTAGTTGGCGTCTTACGGCCGGCATAGAGCAGATGCTCATCGCTGTCCGAGGAGGGACTAGTGGTGGTCTGCACCATCGGCTTAATAGTGCCAGAGCCAGTACCAGTTCCAGTGCCATTGGCACCACCAAGGGCAGCAAGCTCAGTGCGAGCATTCTCCGTTAGATGCTCGTTCTCATTGATCACGTCCTTGACCTTGCCGAGCAAGTTGGTCAGCTCGTTGCGACAGTACTTGGACTCCTTCTCGAGCTGCTCAATGTAATCCTCCTGCTTCTCAATGAAACTGAAGATCTCGACAGGTGCCTGAACGCTGTCCGTGGGCAAAGGGGGAACTGGCACACTGCTGCTCGCATAGACCGAAGGATTCGTGGCCAGGTTCTCCTTGGAAACGGAGAGATAACCGGAATTGTAACTCTTCTTGGGGCGATAGGAGCTAATGCGCGACTTCTGGCTGGGCGACAAATACTTGGAAATGTCCGAGAAAACAGGTCGTTCAATGACCTACAAAGCAAATACATAAGCAATACAACAAACAAAAAAAAAAGAAAGAAAGAAAAGTGAGCTTAACCCACCGACAAATTATCCGAGAAATTATCGCCAGAGTCCTCGTTGAAGTTGCGCAAATAAGCCGACGGATTGCCAACCAATTTGGGCGTGGCCGTGTAGGAGTTGTCGGCCAGCATTACTTTCAAACGGCCAACTGCCTCGTTGTAGGCATAGTTAGTATAATCCATGGTCTTGCTCTTCTTACTGATGCCCTTCGAGGACTTCATCGAGAAATTTCTAAAGTCACCGAGCAATGAAAAACGCGAGAGTTGAGCACTTTACATCTATAATCGATCACATCCTACAATAGTTTTTACTCTGCTATGAAAGTAGTAAATAGAAAATAAAAAGTGTATCCCTAGAAAAGCGCACTGAGCGCGAGTTGGCCAGAAACTGAGGCTGCCTTTCTTTTTTCATTGGGGTGACAATTGCTGCACTTGTGCCACGGACTGTGAACTGGTTGCCGGGACAACGATTTGGCCAAAATACAAATGTGCTCAGTCCCTTAACCCTGCTGGGAATACACACACACACACACTCTAACAGTACTTTTGACCATGTGTACAAGCGTCATGGTTCAGTGGACTCGCAGAGTTTTTCTTTTTTATACCCTTAAACCATAAAATGGTCACACAAAGTTGGGCATGAGTATGTAACAGGCAGAAGGAAGCATCTTTGAGCCCATAAGGGATATCCATATATTCTTGATGAGCATCAAAAGGCAAGTCGATTTAACCTGATTATGATGTTTTAATACTACAATTCTATTAATATATCTGTAAGGGTATGCAATTTTCAACGTGCCTACTTCTCTTGTGATATATCTGCAGTTTAGTGGAGTATATCTATTTTGTCACCAATTTTGTGACGCTTTTAATATAGTTATTTCGATTTTGATTCAAAGCACATTTTTCATATAAACTTTATTTTATTTGTTATTCATTTTAATGTTTAACAAATATTTAAACCAATACATTTTTAGCTTCATATTTGTTTATTTAATGTGGCTAAAAGCAGTCCACAATTTGTATAAAAGATTATTGTTAATCGCAACAATAAGAAAAATGTATTACTTCAAAAAATTTAACGAAAAGTAGAGCAACCATTTTTAATACTATTACGTGTAGGGTGTTTAAAATTCGATAAGCAGGAGCTGTACTGCATTATTTATGGGGTTGTTGTTTAATCTATGCTTTGTCAGGTAGGTATTAATATTAAATATATATAAGACTTTGGTATTTAATTAATAACTGCATTTTAATACCCAAAACAGGTTGGTTAGTTTGATTTTTGTAACGAGGGCTCAAATTTTATGCTTTATTTATTGACGATATAATCAGTCTTAGCGGCTCACAATTGACCTTTAGTTGATACTGCTTTAAAATAAATAGTTTTAATACTTTTGATAACATGCCAGAGTGATGTTGCAAAAATATTTCGCAATTTTTGATTCACAACTAAACAAACATGGGCATGCCAAGTTTAATGCCTCTAGATTGGAGGCTTAATAAATAGTGAAAAAAATCGTATTTTTGCGAATATGTTGATAAATATTACTATTTAATACTTTATGAAATATCGAAAATAAAAATAGCAATCAATAATACAATAATGAACAGGTTTAAATTCTACAATGCAGCCTTCTATTAAATATGTATACAAGAAGTCATATTTAAATTCATTCAAGTAAATTAATCTATTGAATGCATGTTCAAAATAAATTCCGGCTGTTCATTGAAAGAGTATTTATTTATTCTTAATTTAATTTGTCTATTTATATTTATAATATAGACTAAAAACAGTCCATAAATTTAAAAATGTTTTTTCGGAATGCTTTTAAGATAAGTTAACTTATGGTCTTAGTCTATAAGTTAGCTTTATTTAAAATAGGTGTAAGAAGACTAAATAATATATTTAGGAATATTAAAATGTTGTGATGCTCCAACATTTATTTAAAGTTATAGCAAAACCCATAAAACGAAAGCAGATCAGAAATTGTTAAGCATTAGTAACTATGTAAGATGGAAGGTAATAAGTTAGAAAGATACAGAGATAAAGAGTGTGAGCGATAAAAGGAAGGGATAGGAAAGTCTGTTAATTAAAACACAACATTTACAATTTTCTGGAATTTGCCAACAACAAACTGTTATTTTGATTTCCCTACGATTCTAATAATAATTTATTTCATTGTGTTGCATACTTTTAGAGGGTTTGACATATATAGAGACTAAACAGAATAATATTTAGATCAATTTGATATTGCCAACTGATCGAGATAACCTACCTCGATCGCCTCTTAATCCGTCCGCCTGCGCTGCTGAGGCTACAGATGCTCTCCCTGTCGGAGTATCCGGATGGACGACTCTGCGCAAGATTACGCAAGTTCTCGCTTGTCAGCAGCGATGTCAAGTTATGTGGATTGCTGTTGCCGACACTCTGCGGTTGGGCCTGTGAATGAGCGCGAGTACTTTTCAAGTTGTACAAAGGAGCGCTGTACTTGTGGAAATTTTCAGTTTTCATTTTACACAAAACGGCGTGGCCAACATAGGGTTACAAAGGAAACACCAGCAACACAGCAACACAGTAATAACAGCAACAACAGCAACAGCAGCAATAACAATAGCAAAAACTAGTTTTTAAGTGGGGCGAGTCTTGAAAAACTTTCGTTGCGATTTGTGTTCAGCATGCAAGGATAAGTGGGGAAAGCACTTGTGGTATGCACTTCCTTCCGTTTAGCGGTTATGCTTTAATTGTTTCTTTGAGCAACCGTCAGGATGCGGTTAAGAAGCGAACGCGAACGGGACGACAGGACGACAGGACGACAGGACGATAGGACGACAGGACACTGAAACGCGTTGAAGTTTAACTGAAACGTCTGCTTTCGCAAGTCAAAGCTTTTATAGACTCGGCTTTACAAACACCATCCGTCGACTGCAACCCCAAAAGGCAGCAGAAACTTACAACAGCACACACATCCCTCCACCCCCTCCCTTCCACGGGTGCAGGGGATGTGCTTATGTATATAGTTTAGTGTGCTTTTAATGTGTTTGGTGCCATGACGTGCCCAGCCAGCGAAATTCCACAGCATAATGTTAACTTCTTTTGTGCGGCCAACAAAATTCGTATGCAAGTGTGCCCAGCGGCGTCCCTCGACTCTTTGTGATGGGGGCCAATGCATACACTCAGAGACAAAGCACTCACTTTACTCATCTTATTATTCAAAAAGTATCTTTAAGAAAACAGGATTTTTTTTTCTTAATTTCACATTACATTATACTAAATTCAAGGTTGTTTTGTGTAAGCCGCACTCAAACATTAGCTTTTTAGACATTAGTATTTTAAAATTTCATATAAACAAACATTTTAAATAGTTTAACAACTTACATCATATAATTCGAGAAAAATTACAATTTTATGGGTTCGAGATAACAGCTAACCTTTAAAATTGAAGTCGATAGAAGAATAATCGTTTGTATTTTAAACTTTTTATAATATTAATTATATTATCAATCTATAAATTCTATTATCAAGAAATATATTTTTCAACAATCGAAAAATAGCCTCTCTAATTTTGAGTAAATTTTTGCGCATATTTAAAAACTATTTCTAAAAGCAAAATTTACATTTTAGTTTGATTTTTTTCTGAGTGTACAAGCCAAGAGCCCCCTTGAGGCAGACGCCGCTGTTTGGCAATTTGGCGGTGCGTCTGTTTGATCGATAGTTGAAATGGTCGACGTTTGTCGCCACCAATGTATTGAAAGCACGCTCCGACATATTTGTGCCAATATTGGGTTGTAATTCCTATTTCTCTCTCTCTGTCTCTCCCTATCTCTGTCTCTGTCTCTGTTTACTTCAGCCTCACCGCCCCTCTTTCGGTTGTTCAACTCGCTCTAAACGGGGCCAAAACCGTTTATGTAAAGAAGAGCAATGCATATTTTTAGGGTTTATGCGAGTGGTTTATAAATACTCGTGAGTTGCCATTGACAGTTACACTTGCCACTGACTGCTTTATTTTGTATAATCAAAATATTGACAAGCCCGAAAGGAATCCGTTGCTAACCGCTAACAAATTAGTGCCTTCAACAATATTTATGTTTATGTTTCTGTTTATGACTGGCATTGTGAAGCTTAATAAATGATAGCGAAAATGGCAAGCGAAATCAAGGCTTTATATAACATTTAACAAGGTCAAATTTAATATATGCGAATATTTTGTATTTAACAGCTCAAACAAACTTTTTGAGGAGCCTCTTGTGGCTGAACTAGTAATTGGGCCAAAGGAGATAATTAAATTTGATATATGCAAATGTAACTTTATTAAAAGAAACCACATTAAAAATATATTATAAACATTAAGAAGTATTAGAAAGAATGGTGAACAGGTAAAAAAAATATTAAACAAATTAAGTTTATTGCATTTATTTGTATATTTTGAAACTGCAAACTGAGTGTTGATTGTATCCAGCATTCATTGAATAAAGATATAAATGAAACAAATAAAAATTAATAAAAGTACTTAATAAATTTTCACATATTCCAATTACAATATACTATAAACCATAATGGTTATCAATCAAAATAGATATTGAACACACTTTTTTCTTTTTATTCAGAATAAAATTATTTATTTTTCATAAAATCGATTTTTCACTTGTCAATAATTATTTATTTAATAGCAATAATAATAAGAAAAATGAATTATTAAGTCAAATTGGAATTGTTCAAAGAGAGCAACGAGTAAGATTAAGTTTAAAAAATGTAGTTGCCAATAACTATGTAGTTGATATGTTGCGCGGTGAAAACACAATAACCACGGAGGCAACAGACACATGTGGAAGCCTGGCGGGCTGACAACAATTGATCTAGAGATCGGAACAGTAACTTATGAGCAAATCACAGACATTTAATAGCTCAAATAACTCAGGCTCAGTGGCAGCTACCAAGAGGACAAATGCAGCCGAACCGAGTCCAACTACAAGTCAAAGACCAACTCCAAGACCAACTCCAACTCCAAGTCGGAGTCGGAGTCGGCAAGCCCAGCAAGCGAGCACATCGCTGTGCGTATGCAATCAATCAATGCAATCTCTGTTATCATGAATAATTTCCTAGGGGGCATATTTGGTGCGGTAATTGTGAGTGAGTGTGGAGAAGTGAAGAAAACCCTTTTGCTGTTGTCCGCTTGTGTTTTGCAACATTATCGGCTTCTTGCGATTTAATTACCAGAGACCACAAGACACTGGGGTCTACAAATACAAATCAAGTACAAAAACCCTCTAAGATAAACGCATAATTCCGTACATCCCATACCCGATGTCCAATATCTTGCAATACAATTCATAAACATAAACAGTGACTAGCAATTTAAAGCACTCATGTGTGTGTAGGTGTGTGTGTGTGTGTATCTGTGTATGTGTATGTACGAGAGTGTGTGTGTGTGTGTTTGAATATGTGTAAGTGTTATCGATCGTGGCCAATGTTGTTGCCAACAGAGTTGGCAAGCAAACGGCCCGGACTCAAGACCTGGTCAGATCCAGGTCCAGTCCAAGTCCAAGTGGAAGCCCTCGGGGTGCTCTCAGCAATTTTCATTGCTGTAGCTGCTGCTGCTGCTGCTGCTGCTGCTGATGCCGCCGCCGCTGCTGCTGTCGTTGTCGTTGTCTTGGCCCTGGCTCTGACTCTTGCTGTGGCTATGGCTATGGCTGTGTCTGTGGCTCTGTATTCAGTGCCTCTGATCGTTGTCGCGATCTGCTGCTGCTCTGCTGCTGCTGCTGCTGCTGTTGCTGTTGCTGTTGCTGCCTTGGCTGTGACTTGCTCTGATTCTGTTTCGTCCAAGCCAAGCCAAGCCAAGCCAACAATGCCGAACGTCGCCGACGTTACTGCAACTATTTACAACACTGCATTCCTGCGCCGCAGTCATTCAAGAAGCCAAAGCCAAAGCCAGCAACAGAGACAGAGACAGATAGGCAGAGCCAAAAGCTGCGGTTTGCCGTTCAAGCCAGCGCTGAACTTGTTTCATGCCACTTCGGCTTAAGTGTAAGTGAGCGTATTTGTGTGTGTGTGTGTGTGTGGTTGAGCGCGCGCTCCTTCAACAACGACAACAAATGCTGGCCAAGCTGCCCGCCTGCCTCATAAATGCTGTAATAAGCCCACAACAGCAACAACAGCAACAACAACAACAACAGCAGCAGCAACATTGAATGTGCGCTCGAAACATGTTTATGAAAAGAAAGAAATTCCATTGCAAACAAAAGAGGCAAGAGGCAAACACAGGCGACCAACTGATCGGTGCGAGAGGAAAGAGGAGAGGCTTACGCTGCGCGCATGCTCGCATGTAATCCACCTCTCTCACACACACACACAGACGCACACAGACAGACACACGCACACACAGCTAACATTTACATATTGATGTGTGCTCTTTAGCCTCTTTTTCGACTATTGCTGTGTGCCATTGTATCGAAGAATACAATAACAACTTCTTTTGAGTATCTGTTTACACGCGCATTTGATCAGCTCAATCATTCTCTTTTGCTCTCTCTCTCTCTCCCTCTCTCTCTCTCGATGTCGGTGCCTCTCCCACTCGTAAGTAACTCTCTTTGAGCATGGCTGCCTGGCCTGTGGGCATATTTATTTATGCTATGGTGAAATGTCTTGGCCATCGGAGTGGCCAGCACAAACGTGTGACCATTGCAAAAAGTAGCACAGCATTTTCACCAGGCAGCAAACCGTCCCAGTCCCTGTCCCAGTCCCAGTCCCATCTAAAGGAGCCGCGCTTGTGGGAAGTTTCTCAACGTTAAGAGTACTGGCTATAAAAAAAAATATTGCACATAAATAATCTGAAATACTTGTAAACATGAACATTTCAAATCAATAAAAAAAAGATATGTATATATTTATTAAGCACTCGCGTAAAAAAAATACAGCAATCAGACCAGATATCTGGTAATGAAAAAGGCAACTTAAATTAAATTAAATAACTTATGTTTCCTTCATTTCAAATATTTCTAAAAGTGATTTTTTATTATTTATAATAATTACTATATTAGTTTTGCCCATTTTAAATATTAAACAGTTTTAATGAATTAAAGTATAATCAATTAATTAAAATTATAATTTTATGTAATACAAAAATTATTCTTTTAACAACCGATATTTTGTAGCTTGTCCGATTTGGCTAAAGATCAAACTCAATTAGGAAAGCTGTAGGATATGTGTGGAAAAACATTTCGGACAATTTATAAAATATTCGTTCTCAATTAAATCAAAGTTCAAGCAAAACTAAGAATCCTAATAATCGGTGTTATGAAAAATATTTAATCTGCTTATAACAATTAATACAGAGCTAGGTGAAAACCTTGACTCACAAAATAATTCAAAACTTTGCATTTATTTATCAGATCATTCGCATATAACTAGGATATAAAAAGTCAAACTAATAAATAATTAATATTTTCATTTATTTTTATTAATATAGTTGTTGTTATCTATAATTAGTTATCTATTTTATTATTTATTTGACGCATCACATTAATTATTGAATTATTATTTTTCAAATACCGCAAGTTCTTTGCTTAAGTCTTATATTTTTACTGGCAATGCTGCCCAGTAAAGAGACGCAGCCGTCGTTTTGAAGAGAACACTCTCGACCATCCATGAGCATACGCATACACACACAGAGAGAGAGAGCAGCGCAGCAGAGCAACTCACACACACAATGATGCGATGAGCATAGTTGCAGCTCAAAGAGGGTCGGGCACAGCTCAGTGGCCTCAGTTGCCATTTACCTGTTGCCGTGCGCTGTAATTCGTCCAGTGTCGTGGCGGATGAAACTGAATCTTGAGGCGCCGCATTACGTTGCGTGCCTGCGCGTCTCTGTGTGTGTGTGAGAGTGTTTGTGTTAGTGTGAGTGTCAGTGTCAGTGTGTGTAGAGTGTAGCTTGCGTTCGTGGTAGTGGGCTGCTGCTGTGTGTGCTCAAAGCAAAGGCAGCAAAAAAAAAGATAACATAAAGCAAAGTAAAAGAGCCACAGTGAAAGATCAGCGCGCACACACATACACACACATACATATATACATATATATATATATGTATGTATGCATACATACAAGCCCAGCTTGCAATAAATATAAAGTAGAGAAAAGTTGTGTGAAATGGAATAGCAAAAGGAAATTAAAATACATATATATATATATATATATATATATGCACACACACATACATATACATATTTAATAAAACGGAATTTAATGAAGCCGCAAAAACTGCCAAATAATGAAAAGATGTGCGATGCATAAATGAAAACTAAACGAGTGACGTGTATAAAAAAGGTAGCAACTGCTATTTATTAAATTGCAATTCAAATTCAGGTTTTCTCTCACTCTCTCCCTCTCCCCCTCTCCCCTCTCCCTCTCTTTCTCTCTCTCTCTCTCTCTCTCGCTCTCTCTCTCTCTCTCTCTCTGTCTTTGTGTATTGGCTTGCCATGCATTTGTGTGGCTTCAGCCAATGCAAAATTATGCCCAGGCAATTTCCATATGTATATATATTTTATTTTTTATTATTGGTGCATGCTCGTAAAATTACCAGGAAATAATATTTGTATGTGTATATCCTAGAGTGTTCTTTAATTGGTACATTTTCAGCGCTTTGCCAGTGGCTGGGCACAGTTCCAAACCAGTTGCAAAGTTGTCACATTAAAATCACACCTTCGAAGAAATATTTATTGTTGTTGTTTTTTTTTAACTCTGTTTTTTGCTGCAGTTGCTGCTGTGGTTTCTATATCTGCACCACATTGCCCATAACTCGTTCGCTCTCTCACACACACAGACACACACGCACACACACATACGCACACACACACGCACACACAAACGCACACACACACGCACACACACACAGATACAACAGCTTTGGGTTGCATGCAAATTATACGTAAAGGAAGTCAGTCAGCCCCAGTGGCTGATGCTGTTTTTGTTGTTGCTGCTGCTGTTGCAGCAACTAGTTGATCTGCATAGACGCCCATTATAAGTATCATGCTGCTTGCAGCATGCTGATTTTGTCGTTTTTCCTTTCATAACTCTTACACACACACACACACACACACATACCAGTCTGTGATATGAGCGAAAAAGTTATAAACATTAACGCAGCCACCAATGCTAGTTAGTATCTCATTATGGGTCATTACAAGAACAGATTGTGTAGAACGGATATGATCATAGCCATTGCATTTAATTATATAAATACTAATTTGCAGAATAATTAAAAAAAAAACATAAATTACATGTTAATTGTAAGCCTTTTCGCTTTCTTGCAAAACGCCTATTCTCATATTTATAGAGCATCCACATGTGTGTTTGAGTATGTGTATGTGTGTGTGTGTGTGTGTGGCACATGTGTGTGCCGAATGTTTTTCTTTTTTTTTTGCTGTGTATGTATTTACCATTATTTGAGTGCCTGGGGGGTATCCGTTGTGTTTTGCTAGCCAGCAACATGTGGCTTTTCGTTTTTGCTACAAAAGGTTAAATGTTAATAAATTGTTAATTTGATATCTGTCAACGATTTCGGCATAACATTATGACATTTGAGCAAAGCACTTTCCTTATTGCAGCGACAACTGCTGCTTGCCATTTAATCGCTTTCTAAAAGTCCGTGGCAAAACAAAAGACTTCGGCGACAAACTTGATTGCTGCACAAAAATATCATGGGCCAAAGATTTGCCCGCCGCCTGCCACACAGCCGTTTTATGCATTTACCAACAATTTAAAGTATTTTTATAAAAAAAAAAAAAATAAGAAAAACATAACAAAAATGTCATCATATGCGCATTGCAATGACAAGCCAGCTAGCTAGCTAAGCTAACCAGCAGCCGGCCAACAGCAGCAGCCCAACTCAGGCCCAGTCCATTCCAGTCCAGTCAGCTATGGCCCGCAGCCTCAATCATAGTCATACCCCCGCCGCTGCACAATCCCCAATCCACTCCACTCACCCCAATCAAAGCCAAAAAGCTTTCAAGCCAAAAGCAGCCGACGACATCGTCAACGACGCCGCCACAGACATGAAAAAGCCGCGCGTCGATTTCATGAGATTTGCAGCAAAACTTTTAGAAAATTTAGACGGGTATAATAACTATGCCATCTGGCTGACAAACTGACAAATAAATATACTTACAATTAATCACAGTTAATAAAAAAAGGATTATAATCTAAAGAAATGTAAATCGTTCACTAAAAGATAAAAAAAATCAACTACTATCAACCATTCAACAATGTCTTAGACAAAAATCTTCAAGAATCTGGCCAATAACCTATGACTATTATCATAAATGGTTTTGAATTTGCCTTACCTATTCTTGCCCAATAATATTTAATAAATTCTCAATCAAGAGAAATTGTTTGTAGCTTACTGTTATTAATAAGTAAGTATAGTTCTTGAAATTATTAATTAATTAAACACAGCAATTGATTTTTAAACATTTATAAGATTTGGACTATAAACTAATGACACTTGTTTTTTGCACAAAAAAATATCTGTCTTCTGAATAAATGTAAATAATAAGATTAGCAGAGATTATTGAACACATAAAGACATAAACCTTCCAGTTGCCTCCATACAATATAAAAATCAAAGGATTGATTAAAATTTGTAAATTAAAATAGAATGATTAATATTCTGGCTGTATCACATACAATTGGCATTACGTGGAATTTAATTTTGTTGTTTGGGATTTGTCTTTTGCAACTAAATCTGAATAAAATTATCTTTAATTTATCGCAGAACAAAATTTGAAGGCCGCAATATTTTCGAAATAACATTTGCAATGCCATTTTATGAAAATCTAAAAACTAAAATTGGTATATGCAATGGCTTACAGAGAATGCTTAATTCGTTGTAAGCCAACTCTTGATTTACCTTTACTTTTTTTTATAAAAATATATTTATATATATAGATATATATAGATATATGTGTGCAGGCATACAATATATGATTTCATATAGCAGGCTACAACGCAATAAGCAATACTAAAATGCATTGCAATGCAATTTTTATTATTTTTTGCTTTTGCAGTCTTTTGCTGTTGTTGTCGGCCAGATTCGTAGCCAGAGTCCGAACCACAAAGAGTTGCACTGCAGTTGTGCGCAGCTCTCTCACGGCCACAAGCGACAGTTTTGTATTAGAAACGGCAACTTGTAGCTGCAGCTAGTTACGGGCTTGATGACTACCGAACAACACATTGAATGGTCGAGGGGTGGCTTGCGGGCAGGCAGGCGAAGTTAGCTGGAATGTTGTCGCTGCTAGTTGGCAATGTTGCCAAGTGACTGACATAGTTGTTGCTGCTGCTGCTGCTGCTGCTGCTGTTGTTGCTATTGCTGGTTTGTTCTTGTTCTTATTCTGCTTTGTGCAGGGCAACTGTGGCCTGAACTTTAAAATTTAATTTGTTGAACTGAACTGAACAGAACAGCACAGAACAGAATAGAACACAATTTATGTGTGGCATATTAGAAGAAGAAAGAGTTGCGTTTTAAGCAAGCAGAATACGTCAACGTATGCGGGCGTTGTTGTTGCATGCGGGCTAACAGCTAACAGCCCGCAGATACAAAGATACATAGATACAGATAACCTGTTGTGGTTGTTGTTGTTGTTTGCTGGCATCTAGTAAATCTCAGTGCGCTGTGTACTGAGCAGCAGAAATCAGGCAAAACGGTGCTTTACATTCGTTTTTTTTATCTCCTCTCTCTTTCTCTCTCAAAGTTATCTCTTCAGTTGCCCATGAGGCAGGCTTCTTCATTCTTTCTATATTTTTTTGCTTTCTTTCTTGCTGTCGTGCTTTAATGAAATGTAATTTGAAAAATTGCGCGCGGCAAATTGTTGACTTGTTTGCTGCAGCTCGTTGTCGTCATCATCATCATCTTTAACATCATCATCATCATCATCATCATCGTTAGAATTTCAAATATTTTGTCTTAATTAAAATTTTGCTGCCAAGCACTGTGTCTCTTTGCTTGACTAACTTCTGCTTCATGCTTGGCAAAAGTCGGGCAAATCTTTTAAATAAATTAGCGCCGTCGTTCTGTTCGTCAAGCATTTGTCGCTGTTTGCATTTAGTCGACATTTTTATTGGATTAAGTTTGGCCTGGATTTACGCGCTGTCTTGGATTAGATGCGCCATCATTCACGTCCACAGTTGTTGTTGTTGTTGTTGTTATAGCTGTCGCACAGCATGTAATTTGCGGTAAGTCTGCTTCTTTTGCTGCTTTTGGGCTTGTTGTGATTTATTTTGTTTGGTTGGACATTACATTTTAGGTTAAGTGGCGTTTATGCACAGTTGACTGTTTCGCCTGTCGCTTTGTCGGATATTTGGGTCATAAAACAAAAGACTTAAGCAACGAACTGGTTCGTCTGCTTTGACTTCGCATCGGAATTTGAATTATTCCTACTGTAAAGAGGCAGACATAAAGAGAGAGAGAGAGAGAGATGGAATCGTTACTATTTTCCTATTTGATTAATGACTGGTAATTTTCATCCAATATATGCGTAAACATATACATATACATAAGATACCTGCAAAGGGCATTCGCCTCGACTTCGGGCTTCATTATATAAGCTTCGGTTTAATTAGTTTAGCTAAAAAAATAATTTTGCATTTTATAATGAATCTGCTGGCACAGAGTGAAATTTGAGTTTAGATAATGACCAAAAGGTGCAGAATCATTAGTGAAAAATTTAGCACTGGATCTTCAAATGTAGGGTATTACTAATTTTAATGAACAGCAGTGCACAATTTAATAATAATAGTGAGAGAAAGTTGATTATCTATTAATTAAGCATATTATGTCTTTATATTTAATATGAATTGACACATAACTAATCTATGCGGGACGGTGTTGATTGTAATACCAGAACTATTATCCATATGCTTTCTCTTCCTTTGAAGTTCACACACTTATCAACAATACCTCAGATCGTCTTCTAATGAGCCATTCATAGGCAATCATCCGCAAAATGTTGTCACGTCTACCAATCAATCTGCATACACAATTTCCAATTTGAGCATATGCATATTTCATAAGCTCATTTTATACATTTCAAATTTCGCTTTGAGCTTATTTTTGCACTCTTTCTGGCCATTAACTGTGTCAGATGAACGACAACTTTCAATTCTTTATATGGCTATATTATATTTGACACAAAGCCTAAACTCAGAGCTCAGTCAACCAAATTGAACAGAAAATAAATTTAAATATATATTGATTTGCATTTTAATGTGTTTTATATCCATCCTCAATTTCTCAATCGTTTTATATCTATAAATAATTAAATAATATAATA